TATGATAAAACTTGAAACACGAAATCATAAATTATAATTTAATAAATAATCATAAAAAATAATAATATAATAATAATAAATTTAATTCAATAAAATAAGCAAACCAAAAACACTGAAATTTGAAATACAGAGGCAAATTCGCACATCGCTGAGCAAAGTCGCAAAATCGTTTTCAGTGTCTGATGATGAATTTCCCCACGAATCATTATCACTCAATTCTGCAAGTGGTTCTGATTTACTATCGCTGTTCTAAAACCGCTTTTGACGTAAAGGGGCGCTTTTTGGACGCCATGGACTTTTCTAGGTTTCCAGGCAGAAAGAACAGTCAAAATGCAGGCAGGGCACAGGACAAAGCAGTAGGGACAAAATGTATGTGAAATGCATTGAAACAGCAATGACAGCAAAAATGAAATTTTTAAAAAATTTCAAATTTCCCGCCGGTTCCGGCGCCTGTACGTCCCGACGTCACAAGGACCGGAACGCGGAAGTCGGATGCCAGCATCGGCTGGAGGAGATGGCCGGGGACACTGCAGGGGACACATCACGGGAGCGAAGGACAAGGTAAGTGCTGCAGGGACCCCCTGAGCAACGCCGCATGGTAAGCCCGAGTGTAGCTCGGGGTTACCACTCTTGGTTTTGAAATTTTACCCCGACCTACACTCGGGAAAACCGCTAAGGAGGTTAAAGCACCTTGTTGTTCCACAGCACAAAATATTCAGACACACCACTCCACTCCATCGAAGTATGGTCCTGTGTAAATGTGCTCAGCACAGAGGAGTTAAAAACAAGGGACCACCATAGTGCAGTAGGTTAAAACCAAGGGCTTTTAAAATGCCAATGTACTTACAATAAGAAGACAATCACAGGCATATAACAAAGCATGAGCACCAATGGATCCCTACCAGCATGTGTGATAACATCACCTGTTCGGCCCCACCCTAATGTGTTTCACTGTAAACAGCCTCTTTAGAGGATAGAGGCATGCCACCATAGAGCCTCTGTAGATGCTGCTTACAGAGAAACGAGTTAGGGGAGGGCATATAGGGGGAAATATAATGTTGTATTTTGTTTTCACTTAGGTGGGAGTGATGGCCCTGAGGATTCACTAGAAAGTCCAATGAGGAGGAAGAAGTAGAGGTGACATCACCTAGTTACAAGACAAAGGGCAGCACCACCAAGTCCATTGATATGCCCCATCCTGCATTTCTCCTAGCAGCCTGTAATTGTCCAGGTGCATTATGCAGGCAATGTAATCGTAAAAAACAAATCAAATTGTTTTATTGCGATAGCAAAAAAAAGAGAATATAAGTAAAGACTGCTGCATCCACTACACAATCTACGTATATATTAGATGTAGAACAACTACTTCAAGAAAAGTGGACAAGCTGTCTCTTAAAAATTCTAAAGTGCAATTGTGTATATAATATATCAAACCATATTATTTTATACGGAATAATAGTGTAAATTTAATACATGGAATAACCTTAAAAAAATACAAATTGAGGGAGGGGAGGGAGGGAATATTATCAGCTCAGGTTTAGAGAGATTAGTTTAAGGAAGTGTTGCAACATCCATGCTGATATATCAGTTAGTAAGTTAATAATGCAAGAGCAGACTGAAGGAGGGAGGTGAGCAGTAGAGAGACAGAGACAATGTCTCTTGAGATTTCTGGTGTTGTCAGTTTGCCAGGGTTGTAACAGTTGGGGCCTGATTCTTCATGTAGTTAGAGGAGCAAGTGTGTACAGTGAGAATGAGAGTGAATTGTTGTAGACAGAGGTGGCCATGTTAGCACAGGAAAGGGGAGATACTCTGTCATCGAGGTGGTCAGTACCCGAATAGAAAAGTGAAGAGTTAAAGTGGTGAAGGTTTCTACAAGTAATTGTTTGCTGCTCAGGGGGATAAGTGGTTGAAGACAAGGATACTGTGAAAGTGGTGAGGTTGTGATCAGGGAGAGAAAAGGGTATTACCATTGGAGTGAGAGGAAGTGTGTGTCCTTTGTGTTAGGTGAAAAGATGAGGTTAAGTTGAAATGTTGAGCAGTAGCCAGGTTGTTAACATTAACAGGGATGTTAAAGTCACTGAGAATAATAGTGGGTATTTCAGAGGAGAGAAAGTAGGGTCGCTAGGCAAAGAAGTCATCAAAAAAGCGTGATACTGGTCCAGGAGACCGATAAATCACTGCAATCCTCAGAGAAATTGGAGAAAATGGACGAATGCAGTGCATCTTGAAAAAAGGGAGGGATAGAGAGGGAGTAGTAGAAAGGACTTGGAAGGTGCTCTGTGGGGATAGAATGAATCCAACTCCACCTCCTTTCTGTCCACTCGGTCTGGGTGAATGAGTCCAGTGAAGACCACCATGGGAAAGGCAGCATGGTAAGAATCAAATCACCAAGCATATAGACAACTTTAAAGGATATTGCACACAGACATTTACCATATAGCATAGCAGTGTCAATTAGCAGGCATACATGGCATGGAGATTGTACAGATAGATATTGCATGCAGACACTTGCCATATAGCATAGCAGTGTCAATTAGCAGTCATACATGGCATGGAGATGGTACAGATGGATAAGTACAGATGGATATTGCATGCAGACATTTACCATATAGCATAGCGGTGTCAATTAGCAGTCATACATGGCATGGAGATGGTACAGATGGATAAGTACAGATGGATATTGCATGCAGACATTTACCATATAGCATAGCGGTGTCAATTAGCAGTCATACATGGCATGGAGATGGTACAGATGGATAAGTACAGATGGATATTGCATGCAGACATTTACCATATAGCATAGCGGTGTCAATTAGCAGTCATACATGGCATGGAGATGGTACAGATGGATAAGTACAGATGGATATTGCATGCAGACATTTACCATATAGCATAGCAGTGTCAATTAGCAGTCATACATGGCATGGAAATGGTACATATGGATAAGTACAGATGGATTTTGCATGCAGACATATACCTGTGAAAGAGCAGAGAAGACATGATGATGAGAAAGTGATAGAAGTGGCAGTAAAACTGTGAAAACATAGGAAAAGATCGTAAAAGAAACACTCAGGAAAGAAATATGTTGTCCATGATTAACCCGTCTACCCTACTATTATCTGCAATAGTTTCTGCAGAGAAACATCTTTAGAGTGAATGGATTCCTTTTCATAGCCAATGTGCCTCAGATACTCATGGTGGTTAATGGAGTAGCTTCCTAAGCTAGGCTTTCAGGTCTATCTTCATGATACATTGCTCAGGCCCGACTACTTAAAGCAGTCATAGGCAGTGCATAACCCATATGAATACATAGGGTCAAGAGCAGACAAGGGCACCCTGTTCATTGATGACACACTTGACTACTGGGTGCGAAGGCTAGAACAGTGATCAGAGCTTGCCTAGCATGCAGTCAAGCTCCTGAACTGTTCTGTTGCCAGTGTTCTTTCAGAATAAGCATTTAGTTCAGCTGGTGGTTTTGTGAAAGAAAAATAGAAGCTGCCTATCTCCAGACACAGTTGACTGATTTGCCTTTATAGAAATGAACCAGTCTTTGATCAGCGATGAGTACTAATCCCCGAAGCGGATGTTAACAATGAATTACTTTTTTTTCCATAATACAATTTTAGTTGGTTTTACAAATATAGTTACAACAACAAAACAAAAGTAAAAATAGGACAGTGAAAAGCTACACAACGTCACAGTATAGGTGTTGCGGTAAAGTTTAACAAAGATAAAAAAGGAAATATTGAATAGTTTCCAACAGTCCTACTAGTTGCACAAAATAATAATTTTAGAGTATCCAAAAAAAGGTTAAACACAATAATATCTTGGGTTACAGTTCTGAACCAGTCGGACCAGGGTTTCCACGCATTGTCAAATTTAGTAATTCTATAATTTAGGCAAGCTAAAGATTTCTCATAGATAAAGTGGGTCTAAACTAGCTCAATTACTTCTTTTAGAGAAGGGGCTAAGTCTTTTTTCCAGTGTCTAGTAATGGTAAGTCTTGATGCTAGAAGAATATGTGTCACTAAGAGTTGATAATGGATTGGATATGTATCTATATTTATATTCAAAATGGCTACGGTAGGATCTGGTTGTTTTAATATCCCAGTAATTTCCGATATCATGTGGAAGACTTTATATCAATAGCTTCTAATATTTTTACATGTCCATTATATATGTAATAGAGTACCAATCTGACTGCAGTTTCTCCAGCATTGAGGACTATGTTGTTCTGAGAATTTGGCCTTTTGGTAAACAGTTAGATACCATCTTGTGGAAATTTTATGCATTAGCTCCCAAGGGTTAACACATCTAGTAGCTGAAAACACATTCCCAAATGCACATTCCCACTGCTCATTAGAGATTTTTCAGTCTCTAAGTCTTTTTCCCACTTGATTTAGGGAGTAGTCTTATTAAATTCTGATTTACATTGTAGGTTATAAAATAGGGTTATACCACCTGATTTAGGAGTAGCGGAGCTATAGAACTGTAAAGATACTTTGGTATATATATATTGTTTTTACTGGATGTTTCGATAGGCAACGACTGTTGTGTGTATAGGTTGATTTTTCAGAAGGGAGAAGGTTAATTCTTTCATAAGGACTTAAAAAATTTTTATGTCATTTTTAACACAAATATCTTCTATTGTGCGTATGCCATTGTGTTTCCATTTCGAGCTATCTATGCTAGGCATTACTACATGTAAGGTTGTTATAGGTATAAAAAGAGCACTTATTCAGAGAGGATCTATAGGCATGGAGCTTAAGGATTTCCCGGCTTCAACTGAGGCTCGTATAGTTGGTGTTGTTTTACTAGTGGGAAGCCTTTGCCACAAGTTCGCTAGTAGTATGGCACTTAAATCTGTAGTAGAGGCTAGAGTTTTTTTCATTGTCATGCCATTTTGTATCATCTTCCACTATAAACCAATGTTTAAGTTGGTCTAATAGTGATGCTTTGTGATAGTCCCTAATGTCAACAAATCCCATTCCTCCTTTTTTTTTCTGTTTGATTAATATATTATGTGACCATGTAGGTCTCATATTTCCCCAGATGCATTTTTTAACCCACCTTGGCGGTATTCCCGAGTGTAGCTTGGGATAAAGTTTCAGTACCAAAAGCGGTAACCCGAGCTACACTCGGGCTTACCATGCTCCGGGATCCCTCGATCACTTGCCTTGTCCTGTGCTCCCGCGATGTCCCTCCTGCAGTGTCCGCTGTAATATCTTCCGGCGGATGCCGGCATCTGTCATCTGGGTTCCGTCCCCTGCGAGTGTCGGGACGTACTGGGACGGAACGGCGGGTAATTTGAAAATGACAAAAAGTGACATTCACTAAAATCACTAAAATCACATAGTAAAACATTACTGTATCAAAGCATTTCACATACATTTTGTCCCTAGTGCTTTGTCCTGTGCCCTGCCTACATTTTTACTATTCTTTCTGCCTGGAAACTGAGAAACATCCATGTCATCCAAAAAGCGTCCCTTTAGGTCAAAAGCAGTTTTAGACTAGCTAGAGAACAGTGATAGTAAATCAGAACCACTTGCAGAATTGAGTGATAATGATTTGTGGGGAAATTCATCATCAGACACTGAAAACGATTTTGCGACTTTGCTCAGTGATGTGCGAACTTGGCGCTCTATTTCAAATCTCAGTGTTTTTGGTTTGATTATATTATTGAATTAAATGTATTATTATTATTATTTTTTATGATTATTTATTAAATTATAATTTATGATTTTGTGTTTCAAATTGTTACATACCCGGGATGTTTACTAGACTCTTGTTCGGACAGATTTCAGTGAGTTATTCCTAAAAATTACAGGCCTACAATAAAAAAAAAAATACATATTTCCATGCAAAAAAATGTATCGCTTTGAGCACAGAAATATGGACATAATCAGACCGCTAGGGAGGTTAAGCATAAATTGTATTTTTGTTAGAAGATTTAATTGGGATTAGAATTAATCTAAATAGATATAAAATCAGTGGCAATATGAACATTTTAAATGCGGCCGGTTTGCCAGACCAGGATAGTTCATATTTAGCCATTTGATTCAGGTGGGTTTGAATTTTTGGAATTAAATTTAGAATAATTGAGAGTTCCTAGGTCAAAGGTTTTGTTTGTCAACAATATTCCAAGATATATATAAAATGCAGCGCTTGAAAAAAGTGAATATAAAAAGTGAATATAAAACACAGTCCAGTGAAAAAGGTGCTCCGTATATCCTAGTGCAGATGGTAAGGATTTACACTAACCAGATAGCAGAAAAGGTAGATATCCTACGCCCCTTGTGGTGAAACAGCAATCCAGCAGATCAAACAGAAAAGACCTTCCTTCACAGGAGTAGATAAGGAAATCCTTTGGGGCTGTGAAAATTGAGGAAGCTCCTCACAGGGGACACAGGATAACACTCATAGTGTAGTAGGTAAGGTTTTTTAATGAATAAAGCATCAACACAATGAACATAGGGTACAGACAGGTGTAGGTGAATACACTGACCCCCTGGGATTAAAGATGGCCGCCGGGCCTCCTCGTGGCACCGGCGGCTTAGTGTCAACGGCGTCCTAGGTCCACCTGACGCGTTTCGTGCGCACGCACTTCTTCAGAGGTGGAACAAGGACCGCCGTGACCGTCTTCTCTATCATTAAATACCGTATCTGGCGCATGCGCACCGGGGCGGCGCCATCTTGCCGAAGTCCCGGGCGTCCGCAATCAACCAGTGCGCATGCGCGGGTGCCATTTTACCATGGGCATAGATAAAATATCAATATCTAGGCGACGGCTCCTTGTTAGTGGAGTCCGGGCGTCCGTGTTGCGCAACCGCGCATGCGCGGGCGCCATTATGCCATATATCAAAAAGCAGGATACCCAGCGCTGACAGAAACAAAAATGATCGTATCTAAGTGTCGTGTACGCTGTAGTAAAACCGCATAATGAAAAGTGTTGTGTGGGGAACCCCCTAAGGGGATATCCAATGTGGAATATAAAAATATTTTGACACCTTCCCATAAAAATGTGAATTAGCAGGGACAAGGATTCATACAATGAATAAACGTCAACAAATGTCATAAATACGAGGCCATTGGGGTGCATAGGTCCCGTAAATAATGTAGTAATTAAAATATGAATTGTTAGCCAAAAGGGGTATAAAGCCCTGCACTTAGGTAACAATCACATAAAAAAGGGGGCAAAGCAACATGGTAAATTGGCATTGTAAAACATATAAAATACCTGTCACGTAGGGTAAATAAAACACATGCCTATGTTCAGCAAACATTATAAAACAGATATCATAGGCCTGTGACATAAAATACAACAACAAAAGACCAAGGGTGGATAAGATTTAGTTCTAATAAGCATCCTCAATGGATATGTGAATAATGGGGTTGCACTAAATGTATGGTAGCCATACGCATGTAGTAAAAATGAATTAAAAGTTAAAATAACATATACAGTAATCACTCATAGGCACAAAAGAATCAGCGTGATTTCTAGTGCCAATAACATAAAATAAACACTAATGGGTTCAGCTGTATTATCAATATAGCAATTGACGTCAAGCTCAACATTCAAGCCTGCGGGGTGCAAAGTATCCAATTCGAAAATATATTTGGTCTCCATCTGTGTGAGACCGCCCTGGTCTTAAAAGTTCCTCTCCAGTGTGCGGTTACTATGTCGATGCCGACAAATTTAAGACTGGAGGGGTCTCTATGATGGTGTCTCCTATAATGGAGGGACAGGGAGTGTTCCTTATACCCCTTTTTGATGTTATTGACATGTTCACGGAGGCGGTCTCTAAGCCGCCTAGTTGTCCTTCCAATGTATTGCTTGGAGCAGGGGCATTCTAATAAGTACACAACATACCTACTGTTGCAACAAATAAATTTATCAATATTAAAGGATTTCATAGTCTGGTTGGAGGCGAACGTATCTATCTTTCTCTTCCTCACCCCATTGCACTTACAAGCGATGCATTTATTGCATGGGTAGAAGCCAGTGTAGCTGAACAGAGAGGGAGGTGGTGTGGGCAGGGAGACCACATTAGGGGCTATTTTATCCCTTAGAGTAGATGACCTGCGGAAAATAACTTCAGGTTTATCAGGGAGTATCTTAGAGAGAGTGGAATCAGCCTTCAAGATCCCCCAATTTTTAGTGATGATGTGTTTAATAGATCTATACTGGGAGGAAAAAGTAGTGATGAATGGACAGACCAGGTTTTTAGATGGTTTTGTCTGAATACTCAATAATTCATGTCTGTCCATATTAGCTATTGATTCCATAGCGCCATCTAGCATCACCTTATCGTAGCCTTTTTCAAGGAATCTGTCTTTAAGGATACTGGCCTGCGTATGAAAGGTGTCTATATTGGTGCAGTTTCTCCTGAGCCTAAGAAATTGTCCTTTAGGTATTCCTGCCAACCAACTGGGATGGTGACAGCTTCCTAGAGGAATAAAGCTGTTACGATCGGTGGGTTTGAAAAAAGATTTTGTGGCAATATGCCCCTCTAGGTTTAGTAAAGTGAGGTCTAGGAAATCAATTTCTGTATTGCTGTAGTTATATGACAATTTAATATTGACCGTATTGTTATTGAGGGTGGTGAAAAAATTGATAAGGGACTGCTCCGTACCATGCCAAATAACAGTATATCGTCAATATACCGCTTATAGAAAAGCAATTCAGGCCAGTCCATAGCGTAAATATTGTCCTCCTCCCAAAAGGACATGAACAGGTTTGCCAGGCTGGGGGCAAACTTTGCCCCCATGGCAACACCTTTGACTGTAAATAGTACTTACTATCAAACCACATATAGTTTTTTGACATGGCAAAGTCCAGAAGTTCTAATATGAAATCGATATGTGGGGAAAGTAACAGACTCTCATGTGTGAGATAATGTTTGGCGGCAATCATCCCATCTTTATGATTGATGTTGCTGTACAACGCCTCAACATCCGCTGTGACCAGAAAAACGGATGGAGGAATACTGATATCCTTAATAGAGTTGAGAACATGCTTCGTGTCCTTTAAATAGGATGGAGTATGGAGTACTAGTGGTTGTAAATGCTGGTCAATGTAGGCACCTATTCTTGAGCAGAGTGAGTCAATGCCGCTAACTATCGGCCTTCCAGGTGGTTTTAATGGATTCTTATGGACTTTGGGCAAGATGTATAAAACCGGCAGGCGGGGAGCCTTAGGACACAGGAATTCCTTCTCTTTCTTGTTAATGATGAAACTATCATATCCATTTTTGATGATATTCTTAAGGATGCGTTTGTATCCGGGCAAGGGATCTGTATGAAGCAATTGATAAGTCGACGCATCTCCAAGAATATTATACACCTCTGCTGTGTAATCACTTTTATTCAGGATCACAACTCCTCCACCCTTGTCAGCTGGTCTTACTACAAGGTCTTTTTTATCCAACAGAGATTTAATAGCTGCCTTGGTCTTAGGATCGTTATATAGTCTCTTGGGCGGGAGATTTTTCAAGTCTTTTAATACCTGATCTTTAAATAAGCCGACAGCTGAATTGCTCTGTGGTGGAGGGTTAAAGGTAGATGCATTAGCAAGGGAGGTATACTGACTGGTAGGTTGCTTAGAGATAGGGTTATTAAAAAAGTATCTTTTGATAGATAACTTTCTTGCAAATTTTTGTATGTCAATAAAGGCTTGGAATTTATTCATAGGCTTAGCAGGGGCAAATTTCAAGCCTTTGTCAAGGAGAATAAGCTCATTATCAGAAAGGGGAGTCTCACTGAGATTGAAAATGCCCTTCCCTATCAAGTTCTCCTTCGTTTTGTAGGATCTGTTGATTCTCCTCCCTCCCCTTTTGCCTCTATAATGTCGCTTCTTTTTCGTACCCTGCCTCTCTCTAAAAAAATGATGGTCGTTGTTGGTACGGATATCTGGAGTTCTAGGGGTGGGGGGTGCATAATACTCATCATATGGTGGTCTCCAATATTGATGTTGGTAATCACGGGGGTATTGATCTCTATAGTACCCTTGTTGTGGAGAATTATAATAATGGTAATCATACACAAAAAAAACAAAGTACGATTATAAGGGGGATTCCTCTGCGAGTAGTAGCTGGGCCCTGATGGTGATTATTTTTACGGTAGGTTTTACGTTTATTTGATTTATTGGGTTTATGTTGGGTGTTGTATGGGACAGGATTACCCTGTTTTGGGTGGGCATTTGGATGCCATCTATTGTCTCTAGACCCAATATTCCTATCTGATAATTCCGCTAATGGTTGGAATTTATTCTGAGTGGTAATGTTTATAACCTACATAGTTAGGAGGTCTCACCCTATTCTGTAAA